TACCAAATAATCAGGGAGTTTGGTTCTGGAGGACAGGGCACTGTGAAATAAGTCCGAAAAATTACAGACAATAGAATTTGTCCGATGATATTAGTGCCATTTGATCAAAGTGATTGTCAGGCTTGCAAATATGATGAATCAAAATTCTTACACATATTAGAGTCCCATGAAAATATCGTCAGTTATCACACATCATATGTTTTTGAAACCTCAACAACAAATGCTGGAAATTCTAATGTAATAACGAATTAAAAATATATATGTTGCGTGCCTTATGATACTAACAGAGCGGTGACATATATGCTTATGACATGTATGATGAAAGAAAATGTAAAGTACTCATTGATATTTAAATGGAGTGCAATTTATTCATGAAAAGAAGGTCTAGAAGATTTCAACAATGAGACGGTGAGAGAAATTGGAAAAAGTCTCCTTAGCCATGAACCATCCTTGCGTATGGAACTGAATGAAGTAAAAAAAGAGGCTACTGAGGATCTGATGAAGAATGATAATGTTGTGGAAATAAATCAGGTATGCAAAATTGCCTTTGCTTTGTTATCTTACTTCTTTGTTTTATTTCTTATAATCATGATAATGAACAAATTGATATTTTATTTTATAAACTATATGAACAATTGTGTAACAACCAATTGTGTAACTTTATTTTCATGTTAAATGCAAATTCATTAATTATTTGTTGTTATAAATGATTATAGTGTACTCTATCTTAGAATTAAAATTGTGTAAATTCCCAATATCAGATCTGTATATTCATTTCATTTAAAAGCAATTGTTTAACACTTTATGGGTAAATGATACAAACAAACTGTTGAAAATAACAATTTGTCATACGTGTATTTATAAGGGTAAATAGATAAATTGAATCTCTTTTATTTTCATTGTTTCATTAAAAGTTGTTTTTCAATGTATAATTTATGAGAATATTGTTCACTAGTTTCTGGTACTGCATCAAGCAAGCCCCCCAGAGGCGAAGTATCCAGGTCCCCAAGGAAGACAATCAATTAAAAGACGGAACAGACAGAACAGTGGTAAACTATAAATGTTCTGATAAAAAAAGTTCACTGAAAATTTCAGAATTAAAAGATTATTGAACAATTTAAACTTGGATAAAATGTACTTTGATATGAATATATCACCAAGATATTAACTCTAATAAGAGTTAACTAATCATATTCCCATTTTGAAAATGAGTAGTTTATGTGTAAAAATCTCATGTATTTGTTTTCTTAAATGGATGGTATCTTAATTCTGTGATTAAAAAAGATAATTTCATATTTTTAAAAATATTTTTAGAACCCTTTCCCTCTTCCCCTGCTAAAGATCAAGATATACCTAGAATTGCCAGGAACATTCAACACTTTAATGAAGAAGATTGATTTCATCCCCACTCTGGTCATCGGCCAGGTGTTTGAAGAGAATTAGACATCCCCCACTGGTGCAAAGACATGCTTTAAGTGCTGTTTTATTACAAGGCTTTTGAATATGAGATGTGACATTTTTTATTATAACAGAATTAATGTAATTAGAAATAATTACATACAACACAAACACACATAAACAAATCAACAAAGCCATACTTTGTAAATTGTATATATTAAGATTTCTAATTCACAGCTCAAATATATTTTACATGTATATCTATATAATAATCATAAAATTTACATGATGATAGCAAGATGATTGTATTTCACATATATATAAATTTATTATGAGGAGAATTTGACACCCCTCTTCTGATGCAAAGACATGGATAAAGTCTTTTTTAATTACAAGGCTTTTGAATATGAGATATGACTTTCTTTTGCTTATGGCAGTATTTATGTTTTAATTTAGAGTTGTTTTGTCATATTATGAAAAATGTTTTATAAATCATGTTCATGTTTAGATATGTATGTTTATATAGTTTTTGCTCTTTATTGATTTAGTAGATATTCATGTATTATAGAAATAATTACATGTAATACGATCTAACACACATTTACAAATCTACAAAGCCATACTTATATCCACATTTCTAATTGACAGTTCACGTATATTTTACGTGTATACCGGTATCTATATAATAATCATAAAATGTATATGATGATAGCATGATGGGTGTGTATTGCAAATATACATAAATATATGTGGTTGTTACTTACATGTATCTGCTATATTTTCCTATTTTCTTTTCATGAATATGTGTATTACGCATTGCATGTAACATATCTATACAAATGTTATTCTTATTAAAGTTATTTCTTTAATTGCCACAGAGTGTATTCTTTATGTAAATGGGTGTTGTTTGAAATAACATTTCTTTTCCAAATAAACTTCACATGAATTTGGGATTCATTTTAAAATACATGAATTTTTATAAAAGTGTTTTTTTTTTTTTTTTTAAGTTTGGTAATAGCCTTTTTAGATATATTTTCTTAAATAAACACGTATTTATCAATATATTAGTCAATAATGAAAAACTGAATTGGTAACAGTTTTGTACAATATCGCACCAACATATCATTTTTCATTTCTTAAGCAGATCCACATTTATTTTTTTTTTTACATGTTGTTGTTAGATTTAATTGTGAGAAAAACGTTGAGATTAGGATTTGATTGAAAGAATAATGTTTTGTAATTTGATGATTTGATTGTTAAAAGAAGAAACTGTATGAAACAAATATTCCTTCTTTCTTTATTTTAAAAAACAAAGGCGAAGCAGGTATTGTATTGTAAGGAACACTCATATGGTATTTAACATATTGTTTACTAAATTCAAAGTTCCCAAAGGAATACTTAAAAAAACAGAAGTTTTAACAATAATACGTATCAATGCAGTCGATGTTGAACTATAATAAAATCGAGATTTGAACTAGATTATCCATCTTGTGACATCTGAAAGCTTGACATTGTTTCAAAGGACTTAAAAAGTATTTATATCCACAAATTTTCCTGATAATCCGACAAAACAATTACTGGCTATTCGAAGCTCGTTTTTGCTTAACTTTTTGTATAAATTACTGAAACACAATTGAGTGAAACTGTCATTTATTCAAATAACAAATGACTAAGAATAAAATCTATAATACATATTACACAAAATTATAAAACAATTAATTGGCTGGGCTTAAAACAAAATATACAGTTGATCACAAATTGACTAGTTAAATTTACATATTAGTCACATGACATAATTTTTTCTAATCACATGACACAAAAAACAGCCCAGCCAATAATATAATGGTAAAAAACACTTAAAAAGCAAAAAGGTGGTCACAAAAAGGCCATAAAGGAGGACTTAAAAAGTATTTTATAAATAATGAGATAAGAAAAGTCAAGTTCAGTCAAATCCTGTCTATCTGGTAAAATAATCTGAGTTCACAACAATCTCCTCATTTAATGATCCATTTCACAAACTTAATACAATTTTAAGCCTATCTGTATAAAAAAAGTCTAAGTTCAATACAATCTCCCCAGTTAATGATCCAGTTCACAAACTTAATACAATTTTAAGTTTTCTATCTCAGTTTGTCCATGTACATATATCTCCCTGGGGGATCCATTTCATTTTTTGTTCAAATATAAGAATTAAGTTTTCTAAGTTTGGCATTACATATTTGGAGATAACGAGCAGTTCTCAAGCTTAAAAGTCCAATCTGTAGAGATTATTTTTTACATGTAATTCTTTCACTAAGAAAAATAAGAACAAATGGATTCTTGAAATTGGAGTTGTTCAGCGTCTTTTCTGAAGGCAGAACAAACAATTACAATATTTTGATATATATGTATCAGGACGAAACGATAGCTTTTGCTTCCTCAGATATGTCTTCAATGATATGCAGAAAATTTAAATCAAGCGTGGAGACACTAGTCAACCTGATGGCGGATCATTGACGGACAGTTTACTGTTTGATACTTCTTGCTCTGTTTTATTTGTTTAAAAAATGGAATAAAGTTGTGCTCATGCCTGAAGCTATAGTGATATATCTAGAAAATGCACACTAGCATTTTAAAAAAAATCTGTACAATAAGTATTGATCTTAGTTTCATTGAATTTTGAAATTAAAAAAAGACTATTTAGGTGGACTTCAAGGTGGTATTATTGTCTTGTATGAATGATAAAAATTAATGTTGACACAATTATGAACAATACTTTACTCTCTTTACCCTCTAGTGTTTCATAAATCAAATACATACATGATAATTTAATGCTACAAAGTCTGACTATGCAGTAAGCACCTTTGACGAATGTTTACTTTGGTAGAACTCCCGTGACTACTGTATACAGGGTTATTGTCGCCCCGTCTTATTTTTGCATTTTCACACTTGCAAACAATTTTGCCCCGTTTTGAATTCGCCCAATCATAGTTTTGTTTAAGAAATTATATTGTATTCTTTGAATTCGCCCTGTTTTAAATTCGCCCAAATGTGAGAAGGGCGAAAGGGGCGAAAATAAAACGGGGGCGAAAATTTCCCTGTATACAGTATCAGTATTTTAAATAATTTATTCCACAGGTGGGTTCACCATAGGTCTTGTTTCCTATAGGAAAAACGTTGATTTTTTTTTTTTTACATTATTTATATTTTAGGCACCAGCCTAATCTTGTGCAAACGTTCTACTTTCACACAAGTTTTATAAATATTTTAAGCGTCTTTTGTCATCTGCACAAGTTTGTGCAACGGTAGGCTTATAGTAAACAAAAACTTAGAAAAACTTAGAAATTAATGATCCTTCCCGATGTCCTATAGAAAATCAGAAAGTCGGCTTAAGAGATTCCTTAAGAGATGTTGAATCGTATGGTTTAGATATCAATTAATAATTTTAGATGAAAAATTTTGCCTCATATGATTCTTCATTTTTTAACATTTTACCGGGACCAATAAGTGCACTCGTCCTTTTAGAAATTGAAAAAAAAAATAATTCGAGATTAAATTAAATGTACTTTTTTATACATAGGCACATATATACTCTGATTATATAGTTCCTTCCGTTTAAAATACAAAAGGCCTTAATCATCTTGTCTGATGCAATAACATTAGAGAACCGGAAACCAAGAGAGAGAGAGGTAAGTTTTATACTGATTTAATCTGTAAGAAATTAATTCTTACTAAGTACATGTAGATGCCATGGTTAGATCTCTGTACTGGACAGCATGAACATTTTAAATTTTTTTTTACAGAATCACATCATGGATACCAGGGAAACGCAGTTCTCTGATGAGGGACCCATCCATGTAAACGATCAACTCTCAGCAATTTTAGGGGAAAACGATATCAATGAATTTTCTGAGCAGGATGAGCGAGACAAAGCCGAGTGTATTGAGAAATGTATTAAAAACTCATCCTTTCAAGACAATTACCAAATAATCAGGGAGATTGGTTCTGGAAGACAGGGCACTGTGTCTGAAGTCCGGAAAATTACAGACGATAGACGATGTGCAATGAAATTAGTTCCAATTGATCAAAAAGAATTTCAGGCTTGCAAGTATGATGAATCAAAAATCTTACACATATTAGAGTCCCATGAAAATATTGTCAGTTATCATACATCGCATGTATTTGAAACCTCAACAACAAATGCTGGAAATTCTGATGTAACAACGAAATATGTTGCATGCTTAATGATACTGACAGAGCTTTGCGAAATATGCTTAGGGAAAATGATAAAAGACAAGAGCAATGACATATATGCTAATTATGAAAGAAGGTGTCAATTAGTTATTGACATTTTAAATGGAGTCCAATTTATTCATGAGAAAAACATCATTCACCGAGATCTCAAACCAGCAAACATTTTGATTGGTAAGGACGGCAGGGCTAAAATTTGTGATTTTGGCTTGGCTAGGAGCAGATACCGAACTTCGGAGGTGGATACCCAAGGTTCTGAAAGGAATGCAAAAAGCTTTAGCAAGGGTAAAGGAACACGTTATCACATGGCACCAGAGGTAAAAGAGGAAAGTAATCTTCACTACGACAGAAAGGCAGATTTTTATAGTATTGGATTAATTATATATGAAATGTATGTTGAAATGGATGAGAGTGAAAAGCTTCGTACATTTGACAAACTCAGAACTGAAAATTTTGCCCCTCTAGAAGATATCAACAATGAGAAGGTACAAGACATTGTAGAAAGTCTATTAAGCCATGAACCATCCTCTCGTATGGAACTGAATGAAGTAAAACAAGCTATTGAGTACCTGATGAAGAATTATAATACTGTAGAAGGAAATCAGGTATACCGCATTTCGTTTGCTTTGTTAAATGCAAATTTAGTAATTAATTGTAGTTATAGATGCTTCACATATCTTTGGATTAAATTGTGTAAATTCCAAATAGAAGATCTGTATATATATTTTTTTTTCATTTCGAAGCAGATTGTTTAACAGTTAATTGGCAAATGATACAAAGAAATTGTTGTAAACATGATCCTAAAAATAACATCTAAAATTATACGTGTATTTATGTAGGTAAATGAATTAGTTGAACCTTTCAAATTTTCATTTTTTCATTAAAAGTTTTTTTTTTTAAATTCAATGTATAATTTCTGAGAATATTGTTTACTAGGTGCTGGTACTGCATCAATCAGGCACCCAAGAGGCGAAGTATCCTGGTCCCCAAGGAAGACAATCAATGGAAAGACAGAACAATGGTAAACTAGAAATATTCTGATAAAAAAATTCACTGGAAATTTCAATCTTAAAACATTATTGAGAAATTTAAAAAATGGTTTCAAATAAAGATCTCACAAAGATAATAATCGATAAAAAGAGTGCATAACTCATCATATTTTGATAATGTACGTATTGATTATGTATAAAAATTTCAAATATTTGTTTTTTTTAAATGGATGGTAGGTTAATTCTGTACTTTAAAAAAGATATTGGTATATTTTATTGATATTTTTAGAACCCTTTCCCTCTTCCCCTGCTAAAGATCAAGATGTACCTAGAATTTCAAGGAACATCCAACACCTTAAGGAAGAGATTTGATCATCAGCCATGTGTTTGCCGAGAATTTAGACACCCCCCACTGGTGCAAAAATATGCATTAAGTGCCGTTCACATGTACTTAAAAAGCTTTTGTTTGTGAGATGTAACCTTTTTTGCTCATTGCAAAATTTATGTTTTAATGTAGAGATTTTTTAATATGAAGAATACTTGTTTTTTTTTAATGATGTTCATATTAAGATAAATATTCATGGTTTGTTTGGATGTATATCAATTTAGAAGATTTTTTTGTACATATTAGGAAATAATTACAATAACACAGACAAACACACATCAACAAATCTGTAAAACTACAGCTCAAATATATTTTTTACATATATATCTATATAATAATCATAAAATGCATATTAAGAAGGCATGATAAGTGTGAATTGCACATATATATAAATATATGTGGATGTTGCTTATCTGCTTCCCCCCCCCCCCCTATTTTTATTTCATGAATATGTGTATAACGCATTAACATATGCGTACAACTGCTATTCTTTTTAAAGTTATTTCTTTAATTGCTATTATTTATGTAAATGGGTGTTCGATTTATTTGAGATCAAATTTATTTTCCAAATAAAATATAGATAAATTAAGTATTTATTTCAAAATACATGAATAAATGTATGTATTAGAATATTTATGAAAGTGTTTTTTAATTATTGTTTTTTTTAAAGATATATTTTCTTAAATAAACAGGTATTTATCAATATAGATAACTTAATAATGCAAAACTGAATTTGTAATATTTAACAGTTTTGTACAACATCCCACCAATACATTGTTTTTCATGTCTAATGCAGATCCACATTTAATTTTAACTTATAAGATTTTATTTGAATTTTACTTACTTACAACAAGACTTCACTTTGATAAAAAAGTTGAGATTTGAATTTTGTTGAAAGAATAATATATTATAAATTTGATCTGATTAAAGAAGAACGTGTATTTAACCAAGATTTATTTTCTTTGATTCTTTCTTTCTTTAAAAAAAACAAAGGTGAAACAGGTACGGAACATGGATATGGGATTTTACACATTAACTAGATTCTAAGTTCCAATTTAAACAATTAAAAAAACATAATAAGTTTTAACAACAGTGAATATCAATGAGTATCAATGCAGTCTATGTTGAAATATAATAAAATTGAGATTTGAACTAAATTATCCATCTTGTGACATCTGAAAGCTTGACATTGTTTCAAAGCACTGGAAAAAGTATTTTATATCTGTTGAAATAAGAGAGGTCAAGATCAGTCAAATCCTGCCTATCTGGTAAAAAAAATCTAAGTTCATTACAATCTCCCCAGTTAATGATCCAGTTCACAAACTTAATACAATTTAAGGTTTCCTATCTGAGTTTGCTCTTGTACATATATCTCCTTGGGAAATCCATTGCTGTTCTGTTCAAATATAAGGATTAAGTTTTCCAAGTTTGGCATTACATATTTGAGATAATGAGCAGTTTTCAAGCTTAAAAGTGTGCTCAGTAGAGATTAATTTATACATGTAATTCCTTCTCTAAGAATGATAAGAACAAATGGATTCTTGAAATTGGAGTTGTTCAGCGTATTCATTTCGTTTCCCTGGATGACTGGAGTGAGAAATATTTAAAGAAATTGTCATCTGCAAAAGATTAACAACATTTTTTGTGGTCTTAATTTGCAAATTATCCTTTCATACTTATTCTTTCGCAATATGTAAATTTGAATCATACAAAATGTCAATATTGATTGCATTTTTTTCTGGTTGTAAACTAGCATAGAAAAATAAAGAAGTATTTATAATCATTATTCAATCACACTTAACCAATTTTGAATGCACTTTTGAAAAATTATCGTATTAGGTATTCATAACAAGGTATTCATAACGTATTTGAAAAAAAATAATTACTTCATCTTCCAAATTGCCTATAACAATGTCATATAATTATTTCATTATGTCCGAATTTGATTGTTCCATTAGAGTATCCGTTGACAAGTTCAGCTATGCTTACACTTACTCAAAATAATTACAACAGAACGCGTTTAGTACGAACACGGTTATTGTGAATTTACGTTGGATCCCCAGCTATATAATTTTAACGAATTTCTTATATGATGGTTTTCACAAAAGGACAGAATAAAGCATGTGCATTTTTTTAAAAATACGCACATTTTCTTATGCAGTTTTTTTTTCGAAAAAAATCTTTATAAAAATATTTATTATCAAGTGATATTTTCTATTTATTTTCTATCTATTAATCAATGATAGTTTTATAAACTGTATACATTTTGACTTTTTACATTGTACCCCACATAATTTGTGAAATATTGTAAAAATAATTTATAGACATGTTGACCTTGACGAAACCTTAAATCAAGTGTGGAGACATTTAAATCGACACTTGAACAACCTGATCACGGATCATTGACGGGCCATTTACTGATTGATACATCTTCCTCTGTTTAATGTGTTTAAAATGCCCGAAGCCATAGCGATATATCATAGAAAATGCACGCTTGCATTTAAAAAAATACCGTACAATAAGTATTGATCTTAGTATCATTGAAGTTTGAAATTAAAAAAAAAGACTATTCAGGTGGACTTTAAGGTGGTATCATTGTCTTGTGTGAATGATAAAAATTAATTCTGACACTATTATGAACGACACTTTACTCTCTTTACCCTCTAGTGTTTCATAAACCAAATTCATACATGATAATTAAATTATACAAAGTCTTGCTATGCAGTAAGCAACTTTGACGAATGTTTCTCTGGTAGAACTCATGTGACTATAAAAATTTTAAATAATTTATTCCACAGGTGGGTTTACCATAGGTCATACAGGTAAATAGCTCTTGTTTCCTATAAGAAAAACGTTGATTGTTTTTACACATTATTTATATTTTATGCACCAGCCTTATCTTGTGCAAACGTTCTATTTTCACACAAGTTGTATAAATATTTAAATCGTTTTTTGTCATCTGCACATGTTTGTGCAACAGAAAGCTAATAGTAAACAAAATCTTAGAAATTAATGACCCTTCCCGATGTACTATAGAAAATCACAAAAGTCGGCTGACTCCTTAAAAGATGTTGAATCGTATGGTTTAGATATCAATAAATAATTTTAGATGAAAAATTCTGCTTTAAATGATTCTTCATTTTTTTTTTACATTTTACTGGGGCCAATAAGTGCACTGGTACTTTTAGAAATGCTGCATGTTACCCCATATGTATGTAGATGTTTTTATTTTGGATGTATTTAAAAATGGCAGAGGGCCAATTATAGATGTATTTAAAAATGGCGGCTGGGTCAATTATAAATGAAGCAAGGTTGTGCAATTCATAAGATGACAACTGAGCATGTATGCGAGGAATGCGAAATATGAGGAATGCATAATTATAGATGTATGTTCTAAATCTAACATCTGCAATCTTACTGAAGTCAAGACAAAATGGTCTTTGCTTGATTTTATCTAGTAACAGTGTATCAATTAATGTAGCATAATGCTTCACAAAATGAAAACTGTCATGTCGGTCATAAATTAAAGAGGCAAAATGTTTCCTCTTTTTATAAAGTAAAGAAAGTTAAGGTACAATGACCTACCAAGAATACCCGTAAACACAAACATTTTTCTATTCATAGCTCTAAATGCACAAACCCAGACATATTTTAAGGTCTGCTGGATTTGAATGTAAACAATATTGCACATATCGTTGAAATAATACAATTATGAATATTCCACAATAGAAAAAAACATCATGGTTAATTGTAGGATCAATGGCTTTAAATCAAATCCTGATATATATTTTGTCTAATTTGTAGTATGTGCTTAACTTTGGTTAGTGTTGAAGTTTTGAAATATTGAAATTAGATATACAGCCATTATAACTTCAGTATCTTATAAAAGTTTGAATGGGAGATGGATTATTATAAGCAGATCTGCTTTTCTTTCAAATCCCTTGCATCATGTAGCGATGTATGTTAACCCTTTCTCTACCGGCACATTTTACATGATTTTAGAGACCTTTTGACATGGCATTATTACATTATTTCTAAGTTTTTTATCCACGGAGAAAACTAGATATAATGCATACCATTTCGTAGGGAATTTCTTAGAGATGATATTTTATGACAATTCAGATACTCAACGATTGGCCTTATTAGTAAAAATAAAGGTCAAAGGTCAACTAAGTGCAAAATTTTATGGAATTATTTTATACTTTTTAATCTTCAAGCTAAATATTTACAAAGATGTATGTTGAAATAGGAAATTTGGGATATACGAACAAAAGGGCATTATACTGTACTTTATATAACACATAAACTTTTTTTTAAATTCTGCATACATTTCCTTAAAAGCGGTCGCTTAGCAACGCAGAATTTTCAATTTTCGGGCAGAAATTTTTGTTTTTCACTCATCCTAGACACATTTATGCATCCTAGCACATATTAAAGTTAGATATAATGTCATAAAATTACAAGGGACATAACAGCAGATAAATTTTTCAAAAGTTTGACCTCATTAGAACTATTTTTAGGGGGTCAAAGGTCAAATAAGTGCAGAAATTCATTACTTTTTTCAACACTTCTCAATATTTTTGCTAAAATTTTACACAGTAGATGCTGAAATGAAAAATTCTGAATATACTCTCAAGAAGGGATCAGAACTGCAATATCCATACATTTAGTTCAAATTTTTGCTTAATGACCTTAAAGTGGTTGCTAAGCAACAGCATTTTACAATTTTCAAACTATATACATGTACATGTTTGTTATTTCTCATTCTAGACACTTTTTGGTATATTCCGTGATGCTGTTTGTAAGATATGGACCAACAAAAATGATAGAACATTTTTGTATTAAGTATTGACCTTGACACTCTTGTTCTTAGGGGGTCAAGGTCAAGTCAGTACAGAATTCTACTTAAAATTGTAAGTATATATTAGTTTTGAAATGTTACAGTCATGGAAAAATCATCAAATAGTTGACTTAAAAAACGGCGAACGACAAAATTTGCAAGCAAAAAATTTAATCTAAGAAGTAAAAATAAACTTGAATGATTTCATTGCAAGATTTTACTGGTATAACAGAGCTTAAGGTGTACAATAAAGAATTGACATGCCATTTTGAAAGGAAATAATAATTCATGGCAGTGGCAATT